AAAAAAACTCAAAGTGATACTAAAACCTAAAATGCTACATTTTTGTGGTATTAGAAACATTTCACACAACAAACATGCTAGATAAGTCATAGTCTGAACTACTGGGCAATAGAATTATAATCTGTTTAATTTACCTCAAACTAAAAGGACCCAAGGTTTTAAAATCAACATTACTGCATTCAAAAAGATTTGAATTGATGAAAAAACAAAAAGGAAAAAGATGGCTTTGTTTATCTTAGTTCTTACATGAAAAAAGATCACACCTATATTAGGGCTGGGCCCCAAAGTATTTTTCTGAGCTGGACTACCCAAAAGCTTCCTTTATTTAAACATACACACAAGAATCATACTAGTCTATTTTTTGAATATAGCCGAGGTGATTAAAGTTGAGCATATAACTAAATGAATAGGTGAGTGATTCAATTAATCAGTTGGAAGAGAGGTTTCAATTTTCTCATAAACTGTATGTTATTTTCTTCCTATTGCTCTGGCAAGAAAGTGTTTTATAGAAAAGAGTCTTAGCATTGAGTTAATTTATGTTAAAATAGAAATCGACAGAGATCTTTATTTGCAATGAGGGATACTGTCTCCTGAACACTAAGACTCTTCAAAATACCTTGACACACGTGTTTCAGGAATATTTAATTCAGCGATGAGAACATGAAGCATCTTAGGGACCATCTGCTGCTGTTGCTTTAAATTGAACGTCCGTTTTAATGGCTGGATGGCTTGTGCCTGGATGGCTTGTGCCTGGATTTCACATGTATTCAGTTCCTCTTGGAGAATGACTATGCATCCTTACAACATCTTGCTAGAATGGTAATAGGAATATGACAGGAAACACTACTGTTATTTTACACATTGAATGGCGTGTAGTATATGAAAAGCAGAGATATTTATATATCGAGAATTTTCATAGGATTTTTTTTATAATAAGGATAGTATAACACTGATTCATATTTCTCTACAGAAGGTTGGGCTCCTGGCTGGATGGCCACAAATTTAGGAATGATATGTCCAAAGTATATTTCATGCAAACTGATGTTTACATATTTAATACATTTCACATCATTGAAAAGGGTAGACCCTGTGTATCACTTTTGGTAGACAGTCGATATTTTTGATGAAAACATGATTGCCTTCATTAACTTCTGTAGCTGACCCATGATTACTCTTACTTTTCAATCCACATAAATTATTTCTAAAAGATTTATCACAATCTCAGATAAATCTTAATTTTTTTCCTGATCTCTGTGTTTTCCCTCACACCTCCACTGTTTTTTCCAGGGATATCATGAATAACAAAGTATTCTATCAACACCCTAATCTCATGAGGGCACTGGGGATGCACGAGACTGTGATGGAGGTCATGGTGAATGTCCTTGGAGGTGGAGAGTCCAAGGTAAAGGGATACTATGTGGTGACTGTCCTGGAGTACATGGACTGCTAGTTCTGAATGAAAATGTCTTAATTCCTTTTTAGGAGGACTATTTTATAAAGAACATTTTAAAATTTATTTTTATTTCAGTTTAATATGAAGGTACAAATGATTAGGCTACATTGTTTGTATTCCTTTAAAGTTCAAGTTGTAGTTGAGCCCATCGCCCACTCAAGTGCCCATCAACCCATGAATGGCTTAACAAACTGTGGTATATACCATGGAATACTATTTAGCCATAAACAAGATGGAGACTTTACATCTTTTGTTTTTAACTGGATGGAATTGAAGCACATTCTTCTTAGTAAAGTATCTCAAGAATATAAAATTAAGTATCCAGTATACTCAATACAAATATGAAACCAATAAAGAACATTTTTCTGGAAAAAAATACAAACTTTAGTGAGTTAGATGTGCTACTATTTTTTCCCCGCCTGGTATTGATAAAAGTTTCTGCCTTGTGCTGTATAATTTGTCATTTCCTAAATTATTCCCACTTAGGGGATATTTAAACCTTTAAAATTTAAGTAACTATAATATATATCAACTGACTTGAATTATAAGTCAGTCCCCATCACATAACAAGCCCATGTTCTTCAGACTGAGCCATTCCTTATGATTCAGACGATGGTTGGTTTCACCAAATTTCTTATTAGCTCAAGATTTGATGATGATACTCTGGAATGTATTTGTTTTAAGACTCCATAGTGAACTTTTAAATGACTACAATTTAAATGAAATTCCTTGAAATATAAATTGGAGAATAATATACTAAACAATTTCATATAAATCAGTATAGTTTCACAACCTCTGATATGTAAAATATGTTAATATTTCTCTATTTTCAATCTCAAGCCATACTTGTCACAATACAGAAATATGTCCATATTTCCCATGTGCAACCTGTCTCCAGTTAGACTTATAAAAGTAATTATAACATACAGTATTCTGTTAGGGAAGGACATCAGGGAACACCTGGGGTATCCTGTGACAAGATCTGGCCCTCAAGGGAGATGTCTTTGGTGGGGCCACCAACCAGTTAGGGACCCATCCTAGCAGATGCAAATCAGAGCAATGTAAAATCCCTGAGATCTTGATGATAATAATGATAATACCGATAAGAATACTCTACTGTGTTGTGCCAAGTACTGAACTGTATATTTTTTGGAAATTATCTCAATGAATCTTTCCCCCCCTTTACCTAAAGTAAGTATTTTTATCCGTATTATAGAACAGAACAAAGGAGATTGCATAATTTCTCATGGAAGCACAGATAATAGCAGTAGTCAGGAATTGCAACTGGGTCTGCCTGATTCCTAAACCAGGCTTATGCCACCTTTAAATTTAGGGCTATGAGTTAATTCCACATCTTACCCATTGATGATAATGAGTTAGCTTCAGGCTTGATTTTCAGTGGTTCAAGGACAAGGTGAATCATAGTCTACACATTGAAGGACTTCAGTGTCTAAAGTTTGGCACAGTTGGATGCATGTGCATTGACAATGTGGCCTCAATTTCTGAACTCAATTTTATAAAGATTATTTGCTTTCCTTAGCTAACTAAGCGCTCTTTACACAGGAAATCACGTTTCCCAAGATGGTGGCCAACTGCTGCCGTTTTCTCTGTTACTTCTGTCGTATAAGTAGGCAGAATCAAAAAGCTATGTTTGATCATCTCAGTTATTTACTGGAGAACAGCAGTGTTGGTCTTGGTAAGTAAATCTATGACTTTTAAATAATTTCTAGATCAAAATAATACACATATGTTGCATTTAAAAACTGAATGTTTAGTTAAAAAATTGGCAAAGGATATGAATAGACACTGCCCAAAAGACGACCTACAAATGGCCAACAGGTAGGTGAAAAAATGCTCAACATCATTAGTCATTAATCGAGTGCAACTGGAAACCGCAGTGAGGTATCACCTCACACCTTTTAGAATTTCTATTATCAAAAATACAAGAGATCGTTGTTGGCAAGGGTGTAGAGAAAAGAGAAACTTGCACACCATTGATGGGAATATAAATTAGTACAACAATTTTGGAAAATAGTAAGGATGTTCCTCAAAAAAATTTAAAATAGGACTACCATAGGATTCAAGAATTTTACTTCTAGGTGTATAATGAAGGGAAATGAAATCAGCATGTCAAAGAGATATCTACACTCTCATGTTCAAGGTGGGAGTATCCACAGTAGCTATGATACTGAATTGACAGGGGAAATGTGAAATAGATGCACAAAAAATATTATTCAGTCCTTATAAAGAAGGAAATCCTGTCAATTACAACATGAATGAAGCTAGAGGATATCATATTAAATGAAATGAGCCCTTCATAGAAAGACAGTACCACATAATCTCACTTTTATGTGAACTCTAAAAACATTGAACTCGTAGAAGCAGAGAGCAGAATCCCGGGGTTGGGAGGAGGGGGCTGGAGAGATGTTGGTTCAAGGATACAAAATTTCATTGAAGTAGGAGAAATAAGTGGTGACCACAATTAGGAACGGCATGTTTTATGCTTAAAAATTGCGGAGACTAGATTTTGAGTGTTCTCAGCTCTAAAAACAAAAGTGTGTGATGTAGTGTCTATTTTAATTAGCTCAGTTGAGTCGTTTCACAATGTCTCCATATTTCAAAACATCATGTTGTATATGATAAACACATATATTTTTTGTCAATTAAAAAATGACTACTTTTTTCAAAAAATCAAACTTTAAATCAATTTAGATTTGTACCGTATGTGTGATGTTTAGAAATTAAAATGTAAGAGTTAGTGTATATTTATATGAAATTTGTAGCTGCACCACACAATCCAGGCTTTATTCCATCTTCATTTGAATTAACAGCCTCACCAGCTATGAGAGGGTCAACGCCACTGGATGTAGCCGCAGCCTCGGTGATGGATAATAATGAACTAGCCTTAGCTTTGCGTGAGCCAGATCTGGAAAAAGTGAGCGATGTTCCTGCCCTGTGTATTTCTGTGAATTGTGCTTGTTCATAGTTCTTTCTTGAGCTTGTTTAAATATAAAAAACTGTATTATGGTGGTATTAGAATTATAGTATATTAGAATTGTAATTAGCGTTATACATTATATAATATGTTATAAATGACATTCTATGCAATTCTTCTATATACTGTATGTTATGTTCTAGTTAGAAGTTTTAAATAACAAGAAATTTGAGATATGGTATTTCCTCTGACTGCAAGCATTTTTTTTCCCCCATGGAACAGAAATCAACCGACTGTATCTGTATTCTTAGGTATTTTTGTCTTTGCGTGATACCTGCTGCCATTTTTGCTGTGATCATACAGTTCAAATTTCTTAAAATGTTTTAACACGTCATCCTCGTATTTATCGTACATACCTTTATGTATTCCAGCACAAGGCCCCACACTTGAAGCATATAATGCACCAATGTGTATCTACACTATTGATAACTGATATTCATCATAGCCCCAAAGTGAAAGCAACTCAAATATCCATCAGCACAGGAAGTGAAAAACAAAACTGTGGTACATCCACGTAGGGTGGAATGTTATTCCACCATAAAAAAGAAAAAAAGTACTGGCATAAGCTACTGTGTGAAAGAATCTCAAAGCTCACTATACCCAGTGAAAGAAGCCAGGCCCGGAAAGCTGCATGATAACATGTATGTGTCTTCTCTGATTATAGCGAGAGGCAACAGAGTGTCTGGAACTGGTGCACAGGGAGAAGTGGACAGCTTAGAGCACCATGGAACTTTGAGGAGTGATAAAAATGTTGATTTACATTTTTTACAGATGTGCACATCTCTCAAAGCTCATTGAAAACATTTGAAATAGATTACTTTGTTGTACATCAGGTATACCTCAATATAGTTGATATAAACTATTCTAGCTGTGTTACTTCTTTTTAAAACTCATTTAGCTTGAGCTGGTGTAATTCAATCTGTTTGATAAGTTGTTCTTCTAACAGCTTTACGTTCATTGGTAAAACTTCCGTAGGGATTTCTTTTAGAACTGAATATGTATGAAATATTGTAGAGGATCAACATTCTTATAAAACAAAGCCTTTTAAAAGGTAAAAGCTGTGCAGAGATATAATGTGTTAACTTCAACAAGGCTGAAAGTGGGTAGTATTATCACAAATTTTCTAGACATTGAAACTTGGGTTTAAAAGTATAAGTAACTTGTTCAAAATGATATATCCAGTAAGCTAAGCAGGTCTGATCTGAGCCAAGCTGTTTGAATCTAAGCTTAGGTCTTCTTTCTTTCTCTATGTGTGTTCTCATACCTCCTTCCCCATTAAGTTGATACCTCATTTTGGAAACAATTTACTTTTCAATATATCTCTGTACCTCAAGGAGGGCATAGTGGGTCATACTTATAATCCCAGACCTTGGGGAGGCTGAAGCAGGAGGATCACTTGAGGCCAGGAGTCCGGGCAACATAGTAAAATCCTGTTTGTATAAAACATAACAAAAGTTACCCAGATGTGGTGGTGTGCACTTGTAGTCCACATTACTCAGGAGGCTGAGACAGGAGGTTGACCCCAGGAGTTTGAGGCTGCATTGAGCTGTGATGATTCCACTGCCCTCCAGCCTGGGAGACAGCAAGACCCTGTCACAAAACAAAACAAACAAAAACCCAAAACAAAAAAAAGCTTTACATCTTAGATCAGATCCTTCTGTATCTCAGACAGTTTCAGTATTTACATTGGGCTAGTGGTCATTAGTCAGTTTTGAAGTTTATCTAATACTATGACTTCTGTAAGTAAATGTCTCAAAGTAAATGATATAAATTTTAGGAATATTTTTCTTTCATAGAGTTTCTTCAGAAATATATATATATATATATAGAAATATATATATATTTGAGTTGCTTTAGGAATATTTTTCTTTCACAGTTTCTTCATAAATATTTGTATATGTAAATATATATTTGAGTTGCTTTAGGAATATTTTTCTTTCATAGAGTTTATTTGTAAATATTAGGATAGCACCTATAATATTTAAATATATCTTAACATTTAAATATATATATAAATATATCTTAATTCTAAGGTTTTACTAAAAGTCAAGTAGATAATCATGGATTAAAAAGAATTTGCAAAATTACATTTTGAGGACATTATTTATCATGTCCGGTGTTACGTATCTAATGACTTTTCATCCTAGGGATGACATTTTGCTAATCGTCTTATCTGTAGGTTGTGCGTTATTTGGCTGGCTGTGGACTGCAGAGCTGCCAGATGCTGGTGTGTAAAGGCTACCCAGACATTGGGTGGAATCCAGTTGAAGGGGAGAGATACCTAGACTTCCTCAGATTTGCTGTCTTCTGTAATGGTAAATAGGACCTGATTGCTTGAGGTCATCTTTGGTTATTAAAACTGCATACAAATAGATTTATATAATAAGGATTTATTCCAATATTTTGATGAAGGAGGTAACAATAAAAAAAGTTACATATTTTGTAACCAATAGGACTTTTTCACTGTAATAATTTATTATACAATATTTCTTTGATAGTACTTTTCTTATTTAAATTAAAATATTTAAGCCCCTATTCTCAGACATTTTTAAAATTAGATTCTAGTAATATTTAGGATTATGACATTTCCATTATCACAATCATGAGAATAAGTAGTTTATATCTCCATAATATTTCACTTTGAAAATTTTAAGTATAAGAAAATTTCACCATATCTTACATACATAAAACTATAATTTGGATTAAATATTGGCTTTACTAGGATGTTCTTGAGTCTCTGTTAATTTTAAAATTAGAAATGATTAATTTAACATTTATTTGCTCAGAACTTCTGTATAATTTTTTTTCTTTTTTTAAATTAAGTCATTTGTACATAGATCATAAATACATTTATGCCGTTATGGGATTCAATGTGTTGATTATTTGTATACACTGGAGTGTTTACATCCTGCTAATCAACATAGCCTTCACCTCATTTACCCAATTACAGCATTAAGACATTTGTGTTCTACGCCTGATAGATCCAACTTGTACTTGCAATATGCTCCGTAGGTGTGGTCCTCCTACCAACCCTCCCTCTATTGACCCACCTCCCTCCCTTCCCCTCTCCCTCCCCTTCCCTGCTTCATCCTAGGCTATAGTTGTGTTTCATTTTTCATATGCAAGTGTGAGTGATTGTAAATTGGTTTCACAGTAGTACTGAGTACATTGGATAATTTTTTCTTGTTTGTTTCCACTGTCTTCCCCCTCTGACTTTAGGGGAGAGTGTGGAAGAAAACGCAAATGTGGTGGTGAGATTGCTCATCCGGAGGCCCGAGTGCTTCGGTCCTGCTTTGAGAGGGGAAGGTGGGAATGGTCTTCTCGCAGCCATGGAAGAAGCCATTAAAATAGCAGAGGATCCTTCCCGGGATGGCCCCTCGCCAAACAGTGGATCCAGTAAAACACTGTAGGTCTAAGATACACACCCTCTTGAGTGACTTACACTGCCTGACTCGGAACTTTACAAAGTATATTTTGCTTTCTAGTAACTCTGATACAACTTGTGATTCTGAAGATTTCTCCCCTTGAAAATAGAATATCTTAGACTTGGCAGAATGAATGAAATTTGGTGGTGGAATAGGTTCAGTGAAGAAAGAGGGAGCTGAGGAAGATTGGATAGATTTAGGAGAGAGGGATTTAGGTTGGAGGAGATACAGTTTGTAAGTTTTCCCAGGGGAGCTAGGGCAAAGTGGGTTGTTACCAATGATGGCAGGTGAACTTTGGGCTTGGACTAGAGTTTAGCAGAAAGGTAATGAAAATGAATTTTTGTGATTATAGTGAGAGAGAATAATTCATTAGCAAGAAAATGAGGGATGTGACTAATCTGGTATGTTGGTAAAATCCAGAAAAGATGTCTATGGGAGGAGTAAAATTCTTGCTTACAGCGTAGGAGGCAAACAGGAAAGACCATTGCTGTCTTCTGCTTCTCCATAGCATACGTTGCTCATTCTAGATTCCAGGAACGGCCATAGTCACCATGCATGTTGTTTATCTGTGCCTTGACGTTTTGTTTTGTTTTTATATTTTTAATCTGTTGAGGTGACATCCTCAAGGGGGTTATGTACCCACACTGCTAGTGCCTCTGGTGAAATATATGTGTTTTATATTTTTAATCTGTTGAGGTGACATCCTCAAGGGGGTGATGTACCCACACTGCTAGTGCCCCTGGTGAACTATAATGTAGAGCCTTTATTGGGGCAAATTTTCAAGTAAAAAGTAGCAGAGGGCAGTGCCTGTGGCTCAAAGGAGTAGGGTGCTGGCCCCATATGCCAGAGGTGGCGGGTTCAAACACGGCCAAAAACTGCAAAAATAAATAAATAAAAATAAAAAGTCGCAGAGTTCATGTCATCCTGCAAACCCTGGTTTTTCTCATCCAGACAGAGTGTAGATATTCTCTTAACACCACTGCCAGATTTCCAGACCCGGAGCCGTCCAAGAGCAAGAGGGAGCACTCCCCCTCACACACACACCATGTTGCATGCTCACCAGGCAGCCAAAGAGGACCAGGGGGCCCCGGGGGTCTTGCAGTCATAGAAAACACATCCAGAGATCTCTGTTTCAGGACCACACTGGCAGGTGTACACCTGAGGGCCCTGGAAACAGCTTGCATGCCCAGGAACAAGGTTGTCAAATCAGGCCTTGCCATCATTCTGCAGATGGCTGTGTCCAGCTGAGACAGCTGTCTACCAAGTTACCAAGGAGGAAGGAAGTGAGCCTCGAGGGTTATCCAGATTTGTCACTCATCAGCAGGACAATAAACATTGTATGTTTTTGTCACAGCGATGGAGAGGGAGCTGTGTTGGATTATTTGCTGGGGGGCTGGGGGTAGGGACAGTTGGGACAGAGGTAGGTGAGTAAGTGCAATAACATTTATGAAGAGCTTATTCTGGGCAAAGGCCTGTGTTGGGTGCCTTACGCATGCAATCTGAGATGAAATCTTTGCTATCCTTTCTCTTTATGTGTGCTATTTCCAAAAGTAGTCTAAGTTTACACTCTCCTTCCATCAGTAATTTTCTTTGTTCATACCCTCTCCCTTAGAAATGAGCAGAATCTGGGCAGCGCCAGTGGCTGAAAGGAGTAGGGCGCTGGCCCCATATACCGGAGGTGACCCAGCCCCGGCCAGAAAAAA